CTGCCCGAGACGCTCCACATGCAGTGGATCGACCAACCCCTGGGCACGCTGAACAGCGCGCAGCTGCCCATCGGGGCTTGGACGGGCGCGCAGCTGGCGGCATGGATCTCCTCCAATTACGCCTCCACCACCTACGTGGAGGCGCAGAACTCCATAGAGGTCGCAAGCGACGGGAACCGCCGCATCTTGTCGGACGCCGAGCTCCGCGACCTCTTCCCCAACGGGCCGGGCTACCTGCAGGGGGCCTACGCCACCAGCCCACAAAGCATCAACCACCTGCTGGGGGGCAGCTACATCGACGGGGCCCTCCAAATCTTCCCCTGGGTCAGCATGTGCCCTTATCAAGAGTGTTCCTCCGATCGAGGGAGCTGGGCAACGCGGCCCACATCCTGGGACCGCTGGGCACCGACATAATCTGCAAGGTGACCATCGACAAAAACGTGGGCCACGTCATGAAGGACCAGACGGACGACGGGCACCTGGTGGAGCTGCGGGGCCCGATCACCCTCCGCACGCTGAACTTCCGCCTCACCGACGTCGACGGGAACGAGGTGAGCCCTTTTCTTCGACCCAGATAAATGATTCCCTCCCTAAGAAAAAGCGGAAATGCCGGATGAGCAGCAGCCCAACCAGGCTGAGGAGGCAGCACGCTCGGCTGCTGGAAGCCCCGAGCCGCCCGAGCCCGCGGAGCCCGCGGAGCCCGCGGAGCCCGGCCGCGGCGCCGACCCAGAGCCTGTAGGACCAGCTGCTGGGGATCTTCCCGCAATTCCCCCTGCCGGGCCTGCCGACCCCGTGGTGGCCGTGCCCCAGCGGATTCCGGAGCCCCAGAGCCCAAGGCGGCGCCCAAGAAGCGCGGCCGACTGGCCGTCCCCGCCGACCTCAGGCGGTGAACCGCTACCGCAGGCTGCAGTGGCTCCGGAGCCGGAGCAGCAGCCCCAGCAGCCGGAGCAGCCGCGCCGCCCTGTCCACCTGACACCCGCGCAAATGCGGAGGGTGCGCCAGATCAGCCGGCAGAACCGCTTCGAGCAGCTGGCCATGGCGAACAGCATGGACGTGTAAAGGGAACCATGATGCCCCTGGAGCGGCGGAACGAGGCCCAGATGCTTC